CTTAATCTCAGAGACCCTGTGGAAATACAACCTTATTTGGGCATTCTCATTACCCGCAGACACTGCAGAGTGTCCACAGTCTGAGTGAACATCCAACTAGGTGGTCAATGGGATCAGCTGGTGGGAGCAGTTGAGGGGCCCCTACTCTGGCCACACTGCTGTTCCCGCAGACAGAACACTGGCAGAAACAGTCCAGCAGCAGTCAGGGCTGTACTTGAACTTCAGGAAAGGCAGAGCTAGCCTTCAAAGAAACTTTTCTAACCTGTTTGGAATAAAGAAAAAGTGGCTCACTACCCCACCCATGCAACAAGTAAAAAGCCTGGGAGAAAAAGCAAAGCAATTCACCCTCTTAACTCCTCGAGGAAAAACTTCTCTCTCTCAGTCTCCGGCTCTCACTCCCTCTCCATTTCCCCTCACCCTTTCTTTCTTGTAACTTTTGTTTGATTCTATACTTGCTTTTATTTTGTTTTCCCTCACTATTATTTCTCATACTTCCATCCCCTGTATATTCATCCTCTTTCCCATCTTACTTATACTCATTTTTTCTCTTTTCCTGACCCATCCTTTATTAACTGTTAGTATTTTTCCTTTATTGCCTTTTAACTTCCTGGCATATCCTATTAGGATCTTAGCTCTGTTGTTGTTCTTTTCTATCATAAGGACTATAGTTGTTTCTTATTGGGTTATTCATAGTTCACTGAATTTCATTATCTGGTGTGCTTCTGAGCTACAGCAGTTTGCTTTCTGTTTTTTGTGGCAGTAGTAAGTGACACCTCAAAAAGAGGCTACTTTCTAAAAAGACCTTTATATAAAAGTGGAAGAGATACCCATCTTATCAAATACAGAAATCACAAATCACAAGTACAGAAACAAGAAATATGAAAAAGCAATATTTGAACCACCCAGTTGGGAGAGAAGATATTTCCAAATCCTTGTAAGTGAGTGCACATCCTGACACGCTGCAGGAACCAGGGATATGGAAGGGAAATGGAGGTGAAGGGAAAGAAGGAACAGAGAGAGAAGAATAGCAGGATAACGATGTTACTAAGGGAGGAGATATTTTAAAGAAAGACACATGCTTTCAGACTATTGAAACAATGAATCAGAAAGACTTCAAATATCCACAGGCAGGCTCCTAAGGTGTCCCAAAGTGTGAAGCCCCTCACTATTAAGCCTAACAGCATGAGTTCATTCCTCTGGACCCACATGATGGAGGGAGAAAACTGACTCTCACAAC